TATAGTAAAAGCTTGAATAAAAGGCTGAATTTAGTGAGTGACTCTAATTATCATTATGACATTTATTTACAAAAACATAATTTAGCAAAACATCATCTACCGCATGATTAAAAATCTTTACAGTGAACAAAGATTGCACTATGTAAGAACATTCTTGCATCTTTCTCAATCAGTGTTGAACATTAACATTTTTCTTCTATCTCTGGAAAACATACATCAACACATCTTGTGACAAACTCTGCACAACCTGTTTATGTGCTGGTCGTATTTGTTGAAAAGGAAAAGAACTAACCATAGAGTGTCTAATTGGTGGTGCAATGCATGGGTGAAGGAATGGTTTATGCAATGTTGCTTAGTGCAAAACCAAAGAGCAACTGAGTCCAAAAAAGTGCCTCAGGGAGGGAAACTACTCAGCAACTGAGCTCTGAAGGCCTTTATAGAGCGCTGGCACACTGGGCCCAGGTGTTGCCAGTTTCACTGATGGGAAACGAGCCATACCAGCCCTCCAATACCTGCAGATGAGGCCTGCCACACAAACAGGCTTAAAGGAAGGCGGTGTGGAGTGGGTTGTCACATACTGAGCAAATATCTCCATGCTGTCACTGGAAGTAACATCTGGCTACAGCTTACCAAAAGAATAACTCATTCGATACTGTCGAATAATATGTTAAACCTGACTATTTGCGAATTACAAATAAAGGTGATTGGGTGCCATTCCAAATTCCAACCCACTTTAACCTCTGTCTATTAGGTTGGTGATTGATAACATTGGTGTTATCAATACAGAGTTTCACATTAATGACAAATGATTAGTTGTGTAAGCTTGTCAAGGAATTATGTGGTGTGATTGTCAATCGTTTAGCAAATACAGCAAACTTCCAGTAAACTGTTGCTCATAAATTAATAAGAAAATCTGTTAAATTAATTGAGTCTTTAATTGTGAGTACAGTACTGCAGTGGTTAGTGCCTCACCACAAAAGCATCCTGGTTTTAAAATTCACCAAATGTTTCCCCTGTGTCTGTGTTCTCTGACTTCCTTCAAAAGTCTAAAGTCCTGAATATTGACTGCTGACTCTCAGTTTGTTGTTGTGAATGTGATTATGAATGGTTGTGTCTCTGTGTTAGCCTTGCGACAGACCAGTTAGCTGTCAAAAGAGTACCCTATATCTTGCCCCAAGCTGAAGAAAATGAATGAATGAATGGATTTAATTTTTTATTTGTATATTTTCACACTTTTCTCTTTTGTTTAAACGCTCTCAAAGTTCAAACCTTCGTAGGAAAATAAGTCCACTATTATAGAATGAAACCAAAGATCAAACCCTTTTTTCGGGTCCAGAACATGGGAATAGAGCAGCTGCGAGAGAATTCAACATTAATGAATCAATGGTACGGAAGTAGAGGAAGCAAGAAGAATGAGTTGAACAAAGCTGGACTTATCTGATTGTGTCCAGAAGTCCCAACTTTTTGTGCGATGGTTAGCATCTTCCTCTGCCTTTCGGGTGCTACCCCAGGTGCCTTTGACAGTGCAAAACGTTTCATCGACATTAATATGTTTCTTGGGGAGAAAACTTATAAACATACAGTACAGCACTTCAGAGTCACACTGCTAGAGACTGAAGATTTATGTGACAAGATGAACGCATTCTGTACTGTAGAGGAGACACGACACGGAGGAGATTGGTTGACAATGGTCTATAGTCATTAAAATTTTTTTTAAAAAAAGCATGCAAAAATTGCACAAAAAAAAAAAGAATACTCGAAACAGCGAGGCAGCGAAAGATGAGCCGCGTTATAGCAAAGGACCACTGTATAAAACCTCATTACTTCATTGGGATATCAGAAATAAAAGGCAATTGTACTGCTTTTACATTCTTTGGGATGATTCAGCTCTACAGAGCTACGAGTGCTGTAAGTTTAGAGTGTGCAAACTTTAACAAAGAAATCTGGCTCACTACAACGCATTCAATGATTTGAAATTGCAAAATGATACAAGGCAAGCTGACGTTCTTCAACATTAAGTGTTAATATGAGGCTCTTTGAGCATATAGAGAGCTTTAAGATCCAAACAGTGTAAGCCTAAACAATGTAATCCATGTTATCGTGGATTCTTTCTGTACTTTTGATCTCCTTTTACTCCATCTATCAAAGCTTCAGAATTAATCACTGTATTTATAATGGCCTTCTAGCCCTGTGGCATCTCTCACGGCAATGCAACCAAATAGGATGCAAAGCTGTGATCCTCAAAGAATTTCCATCACAGGAATAATGCGGTCCCAGGGCACTGCTGCAAACGCTTGCCCCAAGCATTAGGCACAGATAATTTAAACACATAAGCAGGTTCTTAGCGCACCTTAATCAATGCCAACGGTGTTTTTTAGTTGGGAGGGAGGGGAAGGCAATAAAGGAATAACACTGGTATAACCTGGGGACTTGCTGCAGAAGAAATATGGAGCGCTGAAGCCCTCTGGGTAATGAGAAACAAAACTCCTGACAAAGACTTCTCCTCCTGGAGTTTCTGCACCACAGCAGAGTCACATAATGAGCAGGATCACACTGTATATATTTGATAAATCCTTACAAGTATATGAGAATGTTACCGGAGAGCCATTTGATTCAAAAAATAAACAGAACAATAAAGTTAACAGGAGCTTTTCTCCAAATCAGTGTGTGGTGCATGATGTTTGAAAACAGCTATTTTGGAGGAGACATGTCAGCGCAAATATTGGCAATCCTCTCAAAATCCCATTGTGCTGAAATGTTTTATGATTCTGTCAAAAATAAAAAGGCATAAAAAAGCATAGAAAGCAGACGAGTGAAATTTCATATTGCAGTGGGTAATAAAAGAGACAACAAGGATAATTCAGAGACCTTATCGGAAAAAAAGGGAAATTCTTCAACGCAGCATTTCCTGTTGTAATCAGGCATCCACATCAGCAACCCCTTCCCCCATCTCCCATGAAACTGATATATGAAACCATTTCCCCAAAACCAAACATGCCCGAAAACATTATTAGTGCCATTTCCTCTTCTGTATTAAGGCAAGAAGTGCTGAAGGCAGATCGGAGAGAGCCTTTCTCAGTGATGAAGTGCCTTCCTCTTTAGGTCTCTCTCACATCACAGAGGAAATGTGTGAGATTTATCAGTGCTCGCCCTCTCAGGAGCTTTCTCTGTGGCAGAGCAGCTCTCCAAGGATGCTGTTGTGCTGCTCTTTCTGAGGGAGCAGGTGTACTTTTGCCACATAGGGGCTTTGAATTATATCTATGATAGCATTGTCAAAAACACAAAATGAGAGATAGATAACAGAAAACAGTAGGTGTGTATAAAAAGAAAGCTGCATTTCCAGCTAGAAAACACACCAGAAAGGGAATCAATATCACACCCATGACTACATCCTTGTTCTGGAAGTTAATTATTGGAGCGGGGTTCATCGTTTGTTTATTTGTTTTGATCATTCATTATATATGTTTTACCTCCATCCTTAACCTTTGTGTATCTTTTGTTAGCCTTTGGTTTTACCAAAGTATGCAGAAATATCTGCACCCTAATAATAATGATGAGGTCACAGCCTTTACCCACTGCAAGTAATTAGGCCACCAGATAATATACAGGGACCTTTAGTTTGAGCTGGAGAGCTTTTGCAATGCAACACAGAAGTCCTGGCAACCACTTTGATTCTGAACAGGTGCTTTAGTCATTAAAAGTTCAATGTAAAAGTCAGCAGATAAGGTAGATTTGTTTCACAATTGATTATTGTGACCCACGGAACTATCTTGTCTTCAGTTCTTCTGTCTGGAGCAAGAAACCAATGCACAGGTGACACACCTGTGCATTGGTTTGTTTCATTTGAGCAGTAGTCTGATTCACAAAAGAAATAACTGTGAAAACCAGGTAGTTAGAAAGAATTTGCAATTGGGGTATGTTGGCTAGTTGCACGATAATCCGAAAGTACTGTGTCCATGTGTCTGTTGTTTAAGATTTGTATTAGGGATGCGTATCCTTTGTATCGCCACCCGTGCATTTCAGAGGTGATACAGTTCAGCTGATGTTGATAAGCTGTTTTTAAATTTAAATTACTTTAGTTCAAATCGGATTATATTAAATTGGACTGAATTAGGTTGCAGGATCTGACAGAAAGCCACAAAGTGAAACAAAAAAATGTTCCAAACTAATCTCTTTTTTTTTAAAAACAAATGTAATGTGTACTTTAATGCACAGCACAAAGTAAGTAAACCTGCATATGTATCACACCTTGAGGTTCATAAAATTAGAATCAGCAGATCCAGATATGGGGCTGATGATTAAAATCACTGTGGGGAGTGACTGGTGGTACCCATCTTATTTAAATCACTGAGATATTTATGATTTTGAAGTGTATGGCATCATTAATAAAGTCTAAAGTGCTCTCTAAGGTTTTCAGGGAAAAAACATTATCAGTGCCCATGAGCTTGGATCAATAACAGCCTCAACCCAGCTTTTTGGTGTTACAGTGTATTGTCTACAATCACAAAGAGATTGAGCAGTGTTTACCTGCCTTGGAGAAGCAAAAACTACAATGACCAATCTTATATGGAAAAATGTGACAAAATCAAACAAAAGTGAATTGTTTGGCAGTAACATGTTTGGTGCACACCAAAAATAGCTTTTTCAGTCAAAAAAAAGGTCATAATTTCCTATGCAAAGCATGATTGTGGAAATGTTCTCAAGTTGCCTCACTATCTCAAACATAACTGAGTAAAATGAACAGAAGCAGGAGGTAAAACCAACCACACATGAGATGACCATCTTTCAAAATAAAACATGAAGTAACAAAAAGACAATTTACTAAGACTGGGGCAAAGACTAACTAATAGAATACACTGTTTATGTCACAGTTATGCTTGCATAGGTTCAGAACACACCAGGAACATTTCACAAGTGGCGTGTTTAGTCTGCATGGGTCCTTTATTTTGAAAATTAAACAGCGCCTCTATTTCTGACCTCCTCCCCAACTCTGTGCAGGTGTGGAGAGCTGCCTCTGGGATGCTTCTGAAATTCACTCCCGGTGACAAGACTGGCACAATCTCCAGCATTGTTTTGGACGGTGAGATCAAGTCCACCATGTTGGAGCTGGAACATGACACAGCTGCGCTCGGTATATTCCCAGGGTACTACTAAACATGATGACACAGACAGGATAACACAGAGGGAAACACAAAAGCACAAGACAGCCAGCACATTTAATAGGAACCACAACAGAATGGCTTAT